TGCACAAAAATTTTTCGCATTTAGAAATGATAGTTAAAACTGTCAAACCTAGAGAATAAGGATGATGGCAAATGATTTGATACTACAATGCTAATAATTTTGCCACTAACATTACAGATTAATTAATTAAGCTAGCTTGTTGCAGTAAAAGAGAACCTCTTCATTGTAAAATATAGCCTTTATGCCCTGATTGATATTAGATGCTATTAGATGGCTCCAAAAATAGCTATCTCTTCGCAATGACTGTTTTACTCTATTTTAAGTAACCAATAAAGGCTTCTCATTAAAAAAGGCTCCTATTTTTTTTCTGCTTCTTGTATATTTTCACCTTTTTGGTAGAAATCCATCTGCTTGATTCATTGAGCTCATTTTGTTTTCAAGTTGCAAGTGCTGTATCTATGGTTCACTGACTACCACATAACAATATAAAAAATTATTTGGGCATTTTTAAACAGTTCCAAGCTTTGTTTAAAAACATCCACTCATATTTTGATATGTTAAAAATTAAAGTCCCTACTCTTCACATAACTTTGCCATGTTCATCAAATATGATCACATAAAAAAGTATGTATGTTCATATAAAGTATTATGTATACAATCAGGTCAGATGCCTCATATATCTCATGCACTTGCAATTGACAGTACTGATCACCATCACCTTTTCTATCATTTTTGATATCAAGTGCTCAAATGGGTAACCAGAACATTCAGCATTACTTGTTCAGTTCACTGAACATTCAACTGCACTGAAAATATCAAACCATCATAAATCATTTAAAATTAAGTTCATCATTATATTCATGAAGTCATGATTTAGTTCTTGGCTATGGGTACTTCTCTGAAAGCAGAAACTTTGTCAACTTGTAGAACTTTTTTTATCCATTATGGATGAAAACAATTCGTTAATTGCTAATCACAAATTGGGCATCAAATCTATTTAGAGAATGATAGCATGTGTTTGAATATGGCTAGATAATGCAACAGGAGTAGGCTAGATAGGACAGCAACTTACTTAGTATGTTGGCACTATCTTTTGGATTTGCAGAAAGTTCTCACAGTATGATTCACATAATAAATTTAAATACATTTGAAAAACACATACATATTTGCACGCACACGCATGTAGTAATATACTCCTATATCATTTTAAAAAATACAGCCTTGTTGCATTGAGGAATAAATTTTCACTTTTACTTTCCTACATGAATTAAAACAATGGTCTCAAACTGGCAACCCAAATCAGGTTCTTGAAACAATTTTACACAGCCCATAAACATATTTCAGTTACGTATTTTTTTGTAAATATGGTATTTATATTTTAATTGAAATTGAAAAGGTGGATTGAGCTTTTATGTATGACTGCTGTTGAAGAAAAAAAAGAGACAGAATGAATAAGTTGGGGTTTGCCACTGTACACTAGTATGCCAAGCCATGTAACTGGGGTAAGGTGAGAAAACTTTTAATATTCATACCATCAGTAAATTTAGGTTGTCAGCCAACATTTAGTGCACATCAATATTTTTTGTGTTTCCACTCTTTATTTTTTAAAATTCTATTAGAACTTCTGATATTCACTTTCCTTCAGTCGGTCACAAGTTGGCTAACTAGATACACAGGTGTGCAGTTCATATTGCAACACAGATGGAGATATATTAACATATTTAGCCACTGTAAATACTCTAAAATCTGTTTATTTGTGCTTGTTGTTGATAGATCTACATTATATTAATACCCATACTTTAGAATTTCTTCTTACTTCTCAATGTTGCTTGTGTGCTGAATTATATTCATGAGTCTCATCCAATCTCATTTACTTAGGGGGGGGGATTTAGTTTATCAACTGCTTTCAGATCATGTATTTGGCATGCATGCAATTTGAGTTTGAGATCACTGAATTCCAATATGTGAATATAACCATTTTGCAATTATATAATAATTTTCTTTCCTCTCTCTCTCTCTCTCTCTTTTTTTTTTTTTAAAGAATGTTATAGTTTATAACAGCATACATAATTTACATAGCTTTTTAAGAAAGGAAATTATTTAAAAGGTTGAAATAAAATGGCTTTCTCTGTACTTATGTAACAATTCTCTTAAGCACATAACAAAAGCCAGCAAGCATATTGGGACTTTAATGGCTTTATTCTTACTCAATAGCAGAAATTTTCTAATGAAAACTATTTACGTTATTTTTATTGTTTACTATTTCTGAGAGTATCAAGAAAGAAATACATATAGAAGTATAAAAGCTAAGTCTTAAAAAATGTTGCATCCAAATACTTTTTATGATTTCAAAGGATCATTCTTTTCTTTGAGCAGTTATCTGCACTATCCTTCCAGAAAATGTTCCAAACAATTCTAAATAATATTTTCATCATACACACAAAGAGTATGTAGCTTATTTAAATGGATTTAATAGCTGACTGAATTTCTGATACAAGAATAATTTCTAAATTTAGATTTCACAAAAATAGTTGTTTTTTATTTATTAAATTATCTAAGCTAGGAAATTTGTTTCACATTAATGTGAACCCTAGCCATCTTTAAGGCACTGCTTTATTAAAATATTTCAGGTTTACACATTAAACTCTTCTAGCTGCTGGTGAAACTTGCTTTGACCACTGCGTTTGGGTGAAATGACTTTTCTAGTCCCATTGAAATGAAAACAGAAGTACTTTAGCAGAAATCCAACAAAAACATTACATTAGAAATCATAAATAACCAGAGGTATTCTAATAAAATTTTAAAGAAGCATTTCATACTTTCTAACATCTTTTCCTTCATCTGTGGAAGGAATTAATGCTACTAAGAGGAATTTTTTCCCATGATAAAGAATTACAGCTCACCAAAACCAAAAGTGGAATAAGAAAATCAGAAACAGAAATAAAACATTCCATGCAATTTAAAATTCAACATACTCATATTTTCTTAGGAAGCAGTTACATATTAAAAAGCTGCTCACGAGCAGCAGATTGCGTTGTTCCTTAATCTTCGAATTGGATCTGGCTTATTATTTTTTGCAGACTGTTACAGCAATTTCATAAAAGTAAGCTTGAACTTTCGATTATGCCAAATAGAATTTCCAATATATATTTACTAATATGTAAAGGATCTACAAAGCGAAAGTGTGTTTCGAAATCCATTAAACAAAAAGTGGAATTGGTGCAAAAAATGGATAAAGGCATATCCCTTGTTTCTCTAACCATTCCAAAATCTGTTTATCAATTTCAAGCTGCTCTGCGGCGGGGATGGAGGGACATCGCGGCAAGCAATGAATTGGAAGTTGATCTGTCAGCACTATCCTTATCTTCAGGGCAGATGTTTTTATTTTATTTGACTTATAATCCTTACTAAATGTAGTATTTCATCTCGATGTACTCCGTCTTTGATATGATTTAAATCAAGTTCCTTGTCATTATAATTTGCTTCCGATAGTGAAGAAAGTGACACAGAGGTTATTGAAAACGAAAAAATTTTGATTGACAAATTAGTCGGTATTCTCGACACAGCAATTATAGGACTTGAACAGCGGAACTTGGTAACTAAACAAGAAATTATGTCTGTTTAATAGAATTAAAGAGAAAGTATTATCACATAAAACGAAGCAACTTAAACAACTTACATTGAAAGAAATGTTTAATAAAGTAAACAAATAAATACTAAGCTTTTTCTTTTTTAAATTTTGATACCCTTTAGATCATAATTGTTCTTTATTTCATAAATTACGGTTCCATATTTTTAATTTTATAATTTCTGCATGCCATCTTACCAGATTTAACTGATGATCTATAATCCGGAAAAATCGACAATCTGGAATCGCCGAAGTCCCGACGAGTCCGGATTAACCACTTTTGACTGTATAATGATTTTGAGGAATCCAGCTAGTGTAGCACAATAAAAATATTTTATATTTCTAATCAGACATTTCATGTTTTGAATGCATTTTTATTTTAATCAATCAGATTAAAAAGCAGAAATATATTCTCAAGAACTGCATTTATTGCTTTTAAATCCCTTAGTTTGTTATACAACAGCAGACAGATTAAATCTGAAAGATAATACTGTATAACTTTAGTGAATGACAACAAGCTGCTTTTAAACAGCGGAGTCTGTTGATTAAAATTAAAAGACTAATATTTTACATTTTGCCAAATGGCAACAGTCTCATGCACTAAGTTAAAAATGTCAAGGCAAAAATATTTTATTTTAAACGGTGTTGCCACTGCACGGTTTCAAATCACTGAGTTTACTAATCAAAAAGTCATTCAATTTGGACACTACATGAAATAAATTTAAAACTCTGATATCAAAATTTGGGCTTCAAAATGCACATGCTCAGGTAGAAGACTAAGTGTTCAGAATCTAATGTTTCTAGGTCCCACCATTTTTCCATAATGCAAGGAAAATACAAACACATAGATTCTTTATTATTTACCAGTAGAGATACATTTGATGTCACATGAATCAAAAGCTGTGAATGATAGTAAAATTCTGAATGCATATCTCAAACAAACACACATAAATAGGTAGAAAATAAGCCTTTTTATTCTGGGATGGTTTTCATTGAACTTTACACTGCAGAAACATTATTATGCATGAATTACATCAGGATAAACTAAAACATCAGGATAAGTAGTAATAAAAAGAAAAACTAGGACATTAGCTTTGAGATAATAACTGACAGAAGATTTAAAAACTCTCAAATTTTTTACAACTTTAACATATCGATTTATTTTGCTTCAACACATTTGATTTAGTTTTGAATTTACCTACTGAAAATAAGATTTCTTTTCGTTAAATTTCTACAGGATTACATTTTTCATAAGCTTTAACTATCATGTTTATAGAAAATATTTTAAACATTGCATTACATATTTTGAAATTTTACTTCTGCAAATTCCTTTTCAATATTTTGTACTATAAACAAAAGAGATCTTACTTGAACTTGGTTTAGAATATACAATAAAAGCACATTTCTTGGGGGGGGTTGAAAAATTGCTTACTCTTCTCATTTGCAGAATCCACTTCATCAGACATGACTACTTCATAAAATGGTCCTATTAATGACATGAATTTGGAAACTTTTTCATTGTAAGACATTGTTTCTATAACCTGAAAGATAAACCTAATTATATGCATTTAAAGGAAAATACTTTCAATAAAGAAAAGAAATAGCTACAAAGAATGTTAAGTAATTAAGAATATATATATATATATACACATTGACACACATGTGCATATAAATAACATTATGGGCATGTGACTAAATATACTAGTATATTTAGCATTTATTCAATGTATATTATTATCTAACTATGGCAACTACATTCTACATAATTTAAATTTTGTTATGAAATTTAAAAAATTTGTATTCCTTTATTTTCTGTTTCTTTATAAAGCAAGCTTTTATGTTGCAAGAACTACATAGAATCCAATATATTAAAGACACATTACACAGCTTTCTTCTATTTTCTGTGAGTATAGCATTTCTGCAAAACTGCTACTAAAAGGTTTATAAGGCTATTTCAGTATCCGAGAACTCTTGAAAAATCATTTCAAGTATATTTCCTGCATCACACAGGAAAATTATATGAAATATTTTTCTATGTTGACTAAGACCACTAACTACATGAGATATTTCTGAGTGTTTCAACCCATTAATTATATGAAATATTTTTTAAAATACTCAGATCACCCCCCCCAAAAAAAACAAGCAAATTATATAAAATAAACACTAATATAAAATAAAATTAAGAACAGCGTGAAAAATATGCAGTACAAAGTCTGTAATCCGGACGTCCATTATCTGGAATGATCTATAATCCGGACCTCAAAGCCACAAACTTATGCATGCTCATAAAGCATTTACCCATGCACTCTTCTGATAGTGAAGAAAGTGACAAAGATGAAACCAAAACGAAAAAATTTCGATTGACAAGTTAGTCGGTATTCTTGACACAGCAACTACAGGACTTGAACAGTGGAACTTTGTAACTGAACAAGAAATTATGTCTGTTTATAGAATTAAAGAGAATGTATTAGCAACAAAAAATGAAGCAACTTACATTGAAAGAAATGTTTAATAAAGTAAACAACTAAATATTAAGCTTTTTTTTTTTTGTAAATTTTGATAGATCATAATTGTTTTTTATTTCATAAATTACTGTTTCATATTTTTAATTGTATAATTTTTGCATGCCATCTTACCAGATTTAAATTGATGATCTATAATCCGGAAAAACCCCTAATCCGGAATTGCTGAAGTCCTTACGAGTCCAGATTACGGACTTTGTACTGTATATATTTACAAGATGTAATGATGTATGAATTAAGCAAGTTCTTTTAATCAAAATTAAGAAGATTACCGGAACACTGACAGATAAAGCAACAACCATATATTAGGCTGAACTATCAAAAGTTGGTTAGATAGAAGCTATAGAGAATGGAGTTTCAGAAAATCCAGGAAGAAGGCGACTTAAAGCAGTATCTTATTGTTAATTGAATATATCAGGCAAGGAAACCACTAATGTTTGTCTCTAGTCAAAAGCTGAAATTTCCCATTTACTAGGGTTGATATGGAAACCTTGAAAAAAGAGAGTATGAATTGTTTAGCCTAAAGCATTTTAATTTTGCATAATTCTTAGTAGGATTTTCAAAATTCCTTCAAATTAGTCCTTTAATTACTTAACTATTTTGTCCTTTTCGTTGCTAATTATACTCAGATTTCTTTGAGTTAGTGAAAACAGGCAGTAACATATTTAAAAGCAAAACTGAAATACTTTTACAAAATAAGTGGATACTTGCATTCAGAAACAATAAGAATGAAAGCAGGGAATTTATTTAAAGGAAGGCTAGATCACATATACAGTCAAAAGTGGTTAATCCGGACTCGTCGAGACTTCGGCGATTCCGGATTATTGATTTTTCCGGATTATAGATCATCACTTTAAATCTGGTAAGATGGCATGCAGAAATTATAAAATAAAAAAATATGAAACCGTAATTTATGAAATAAAGAACAATTATGATCTAAAGGGTATAAAAATTTACCAAAAAAAAAAAAAAAAAAAAAAAGCTTAATATTTATTTGTTTACTTTATTAAACATTTCTTTCAATGTAAGTTAAGTTGCTTCATTTTATGTGATAATACTTTCTCTTTAATTCTATAAACAGACATCATTTCTTGTTCAGTTACAAAATTCCACTGTTCAAGTCTTATAATTGCTGTGTCAAGAATACCGACTAATTTGTCAATCGAAATGTTTTCATTTTCAATAACCTCTGTGTCACTTTCTTCACTATCGGAAGCGAATTATAATGACGAGGAATTTGATTTAAAGTATATCAGAGTACATTGAGATGAAATACTACATTTAGTAAGGAATTACAAGCCAAATAAAATAAAAACATCTGCCCTGAAGATAAGGATAGTGCTGACAGATCAACTTCCAATTCATTGTGCACCGCAGCGTCCCCCCCCCTGCCGCAGAGCAGCGTGAAATTGATAAACAGATTTTGGAATGGTTAGAGAAACAAAGGATATGCCTTTATCCATTTTTTGCAGCAATTCCACTTTTTGTTTGATGGACATTGAAACATACTTTCACTTTGTAGATCCTTTGGGAGCTCCAGCATCGGAAATTCTAATTGACATAATCGAAAGTTCAAGCTTACTTTTATAAAATTGCTCTAACAGTCTGCAAAAAATAATAAGCCTGATCCAATTTGAAGATTAAGGAACAACGCAATCTGCTACATTAACTGAAACTGATAATTAGATAATTTTAGCTTAGCTTATACCGTCCATTATACATTAAATGTGCATGCGTAAACATATTATGCGCATCCGCACACGCATATGCGCAGCCGTAAAGGTCTTACATGTATGCATAAGCGCCTATGCGCATGCGTCAACGCGACGCATGTGCAGAAAGTTTAGCTTTGAGGTCCGGATTATAGATCATTCCGAATTATGGGTGTCCGAATTAACGACTTTTGACTGTATAACATTTGCATGACTTATTTAATACTGTTTTATTGTATTAAAATGTTTGCCAAATTTTATAAAAAAAGATTGAGTATATGGACCAAGGCTTTGGCTTTCGGAGTACCTTTGCTGAAAACAGCAATTACCTCCACAACTTAAGAAAAACTGAATAATTAAGAAAAAGCATGACTAAAGTAGAGAACGAGAACCATTAAGGGTTTAAAGGTACGAGAGATCGATAAGAAGTCCACACAATGGGATGAAGATTTCTTTCAACTCCTAACTTTGCCTAGGTAGGGGTCAAAGACCTAGAAGATGGAACGAGAGGCGAATTCCTCCAAGTCCTGGGAAAGGTTGTCATGGGAACTCAAAGAGCCGTAGAGTTTGCTAATGCCTTGGTAATGGTTGGTGAATATATGGATAATTGCAACAGAATATAACAATTTCTTTCAGAAGTTTTCATTACTGAAACCGGGGAAGAATTGAATTCTTGAAGACTTGAACTGGCAATTGAAGTTTATAGTATCCTTAGCGTCATCAAAGGTACCTTAGCATCAGTGAAAATTTCCAGGCAGCAGATAATATGTCAGTACCTATTAATCTCGTATATTTATTTGATTGGTTATGGTAGTGGGCTTAATTATTATTTGCAATATTGCTTAACTATTGCAGTAAAATTGCTCCAGGGTTTTATGTGGCCACTGAATACATTTCAATATGTATTTGTTACAAATTCAGAGCTTATAATTTTAGAGATTCAAGATATGGGCTGTGCTTAGATGCATGACTGCTAGTGAAGGGAAAAAGATAGAACAATTAGATTGGGGCTTTCTCTTTGTAACTGTATGCTTGTATGCCAGGCCATGTCACTAGAGTAAGCTGGAAGAATATACCACATTAGTAAATTTAACTAACTAAGTCGAATGCTGGTGGAACTTCAGTATTCTCAAATTTTCAGTTAAAGGTTAAAATGAAGCATTTAGTAGTTAATTCACCATAATGGATTTACCTGAAATAAATGTCATTCTAAATTTAATATTCAGCTCTCAATACATTTGAATAGCAAAGCATAACTAATAGAAATTTCTTTCAAGTACCAACATATGGACTACAGGCTGAGAAAAAATATAAATTTGTAATTATTGATATCATATACCAGCTAGACATCAATGACTTGGAAAAGAAAAACATTCCTGATGCAATATTAAAATCAAACACATTATGTATGCTTTGTGAACAATATCCTGAACACGAATGGACTAGAGTATGCATTAATGGCTCTAAAATACAACACAGCACTTTTGGTGTATACAGTAAACATTTTCCCCAAGGTGATCCTGTAGGACACTTCATGTCGAATTTTGATGCAGAGATCCTTACAATCTCACTAGTTCTGGAAAACCTCAAGAGAAAGACAGATTGTTTCTCTAAAGCAGTTATTCTAGTTGATTCCAAAGCAGCCATCCAGGCTATAATTATAAATCATGACACAGATTATTTCAGAAATAAGACACACTTTGAACTTTTTTGAGAAATTAATGGATACTATTAAAATCTGATCAGGCAGTAAAATCAACAGGCAAATCTTGGGCTAACATTCAAGACACATAAAAATTTTTTGTCAAAATCCCTGTAAAGAGGCTGTGGCAAACTTCAGACCAGACTGAAAAAAGGCAACGACTTCATGGCACATCATCTTAATAAAATTGGCATCCTTCCATCTAGAATATGCCAAATTAGCAATTTATGCATCATGAAAGCAAAGCATCTTCTTATATATCTAGAACTAGATAAAGAGTCTCAGAAACGAGGTGAGATAAGTAAACTATACTGAAATGCCAGAGCTTTTATGAACCTGTTATTAAAGACTACATCTCTTATGTTCCTTGTTTAAATTTTTAACTTTTTACTTTTATTCCTATGTTCATTTATTCTGATTCTTACTTTAAATGCTTGTTCTTTTTAATTATATAGCATTGTTCTTGTGTAATACTTGAGCTGTTTTATATGTTTGGATTGATTTTTCCAATAAAGCCATATGTAACAACATAGGTTTGTAATTTTTTCTTCGTATTACAGTTATTTATTATTATTTGATAATGTTTTATTATAAAGTGTGTATGCAAGTAAAATTCAAAATTAATTAAAACAAAAATTAGAAATGTTTTTAAATATTGTTAAAAAATATGTTCTGGCCCATCAGCTATTTTCAGATTGATCAGTCGACCTGCATGCAATTTGAGTTTGAGACCAATGGTTTATATCAAAGCATGTAAAAGTCATTTTCTTAAAGGGAGGGATACCTTTATGAAGGATCTTCTCAGGGAAAGTGGCTTATATTATTGTTATACATGAGGTCAGGTTATTTGGATTAGGAGGATGCCATCAAGGAAGGCTTTCTAAATGAAACTGCCTGGCTTCTAACCCAGGAAGAGCTACCAGTATTCAGCTCAGCCACTGTTGGGTCAGTTACCTATTACGAAAACCATGAAAATGCTCCTTGTTCTCCAGGATCCAAACATATACAGCTCTAGCTATAGCATTTTTACATATGATTAATACAGCACGTTTCATATAAATTAAAAATAATAATTCAAAGCTAAATACACCTTTAATTAGTAGCCATTTGTGATACCAACTTAGCTGATGTCCACAAAAATTTCCACACTAAATAGATACCTGTGCTTGGAGTTGGTCCTCTTTATATATTTATCTATGCATTTCGTAATTTTAATGATAAATTCTAAAAGCAAAACTAAGATTAATTATTTTATAACTCAAAAGAGATTAAAAAGCCAAAAAAAATTCAGAATTATAGATTCATTATGTGAGATAAAACTTTAATAATTTAAATACAGAGAAAATATTTATAATTAGAAAAATTAAGCAGAATAAAAAGAAAAAGATAAAGCAATTTTTAAATCTGTAGGACCGCACATAAAATAACAGACAGCAATATTCTCAAATCTAAATCAGGATGAATTTTTAAAACACTATTATGATGAAAGAACTTATAGCTGATTTTTACCGTATGTGACATGGACACCAAAGATAGGACATCGATCATGTAGATAAGAACATCAAATAAAGAGCTGTTTTAAAAAGCATACAGAGAATTTGTAAGATAATCATATTTCAATTTCAGTATGGTAAGCAAATAATTAATCAGAATTAATACTGAAATTACTTTTTACCTTAGTCAATTCCTCTACATATTTCTCCATGGCAGTTTTTTCTGACATGTTTCCTAAATCCGTCCATGCATACCTATAAGTTTATAAAATAGCAAAAAATTGCTGTGAAAAATATATTTAGGATTCTTATATTAATCTAATATTTTAATTTCATTAAAGCATTTAACCCATTAACTGCCAAAACTACAAAGAATGATTCTTTTATCGTGAAAATAATAACAAATATTTAATTAAGTATTTATAACATAAATTTACATTGAAAATTAAAAAAAAAAAAAAAAAAAAAAATGCTCTTACCTGAGGAAAATGCGAGTGTTGCATTTCGCAATGTCAGCGGAATAAGACTACGGATATGAGTAGGATTGTACTCGTGTGATGTTTTCTTTGAGTGGAGCGCAGGATTGCTTTTTAGCTGTATAACGTTTTATAAATCTACAAATCACTTTACTTGTAATTAATTTAATATTAAAATATACATTATATTTCTTTTACGAATACAGATTATTTCAATTGGAAGATTCAAGTATCAAAAGCTTTATTAGAATCATGATGCAGAGCTACATTACATATACTGCATCTGTAAACAGTCTGGCTATGGCACTCTTTACAATGAAGTCTTTTGTTAACAACAGACTTTTGTATCAACAACGATAAAATGTCTACCATCTCCATGCAATGGTTTTTGAATGCTGAATTTACTAGGTCTTCCTGCTGTTGATCTATTTCTGGCTAATTCTACACACTCAATAGGAGTTTGCAAAAGGAATAATACAATCACGAGTCTGAAATCTAAAAGAGACTTTATATTTCCAGTAGTAAAATGTGGTGATATTTAGTAAGTTTAGATACGGTCTCACCTCATATAATTTATAAGTATTGTCAATTTGGCTATTGTCAAATGCAAATTCTGTTTCATATTCCTGTACTGCAAACATGATATCGATTCTCGAACAACAGGAACAGAAATGTCCTACCAAAAGACCAATACATTTTTCATGAAGTAAAGAATGATATCCCGTAAGCAATAATATTCCAATAAATCTTCTCATATAGACTTCAGATGAAATAAATTCTGGGCAATTTTTTTGCTGAGCGTATATATTTGTCTGTTCAACGAGAAGAGAGTAAATGTCTAAACCAAAAAGAAAATCGAAAATCTGTGCACTAGTTTTACCTTGTATTTTGTCTTTTATAGTTTCTCTTCTATCTCTTTCTTCATGTTCTTTCTGAGACATAACTGACAGTTCCTTTCTTATCCACTTCAAGTTCTCAGTCTTCTGCTTTTTAAACTTTTTAGTATGACTACAACTGCTGTTAGAAGGCTGAAGCTTACTTCTTAAGTGAATATCAACTGATTAAATAATAATTTGATAAATTAAGTGAATATCAACAACTAATAAAATGATAATGATGTTTTGCCGGAACAGTTTTAGTATTGGTCCTTTTGGCAATTTTTTTATTTGACGACAAACTTCGGTCGCCAAGGTAGACCCGGTTTTGAAGATCGGAAAAAAATGGCGGATTGTCAACAAAACCCGATCTAGACTAAATAACAATCCTAAAAAATAAGCTCTTAATCAGAATAAACAGTCTTTCTCCAATTTTCAATATTTCTAGTACTGCAATGATAAATTCTTGAAACACTACTGTAAATGAATTTATGACAATTATTATGTTATGAGTAATGAAATTTACAAAATGTTAAATTTTTAAATTACAAAATATAATGTATTAAACATTAATATTTTAAGTAGTTAGTTCATATTTATATTTTATTATATTAGTTAGCTAATATTTTAAATTTACAAAAGGTTAATTTTTATGTTTATGAATAATGAAATTTACAAACGGCTAATAAATGCATTTCAAACTAGTATATGTTACTTTAGTTTCTTAGATTCTGTTATTAAAAAAAAATAAAAAAAAAATATTTCAAAGTGAAGGAAATCAAATTCAATTATAATGGGCAAGTTTTGTACCAGTGTTAGAAATATTTTTTATGATTAAATATTGTAAATGGTAAAAATATTAAGAATTGTGTATTTTTTAATCCCTCAATTTATTACAAGTAATTTATGATTATAATTTAAAAGCTAAAATTAAATTATCATAATGAGTAAATTTTGTACCAATGGTAATAATACAACAATCATCGTAAATGATGATTTCTGTGAAAATTCGAACAGTCATTGGAATCCACTAGTGTTGCAGTGATAGCCACTGAACAGGCTGGCTATATGGGAGTTTTAGTAGTTTTCCGTAGATGTAATGTGAATCTGAGCCATTTTCTCTTAAAAAGTAGTTTATGAAGGCATCCTTCTTCTGCTAGCCAGCATATGTATTTATTTTCTATTCATAATTCTCTCTTATTTTCTTATTTCTTAATTCTAAATCTTACTTCTGAAGAGAAGAAGTGTTGCATCTATAGGTCGAAAAATATGGTCAATATGTTTGCAAAATCCTGTCAGTTTTGGAAAGCATTTAAATAAACTAAATAATTTGTATGTGATGCAAACAAAAATGCATTACACTATTTCATGTACTGAATAATTAATCAGGGAACAAAGTATATTGTAACGTTCCTTTATTTTGTAACCAGTTATTTACGCTTGGGATCTTTACTGTCAATTTCCTCCATCCGTTTTCTCACCAGAATCCAAATGACGTTTTTATTTTGTAAAACAAACCGAGTTTTGCCTGAGGCCACATTAATAGGTTGCTAGATAAGAAAAGATTCGTAGTCTTCAGCCTTGCATTATAATTGCTGATAGTTGAATTCCATGCCAGTTAAGTTTTTAACCAACTTTGCATTAAACTGATTTGTGCAGCCTTTGGGCTACAAATTTATTTGAATTTAAATTTTACATTTGAACTTAATTGTTATCATAAGTTATCTTGTCACAAGTGGTTGACTGAGTCGTAAGCACAAAGTGTGCCTTCTGTTCTGTACATCTAAACTTTACTAAGTGCTTGCCATGTAGTCAAATTTTTATATATAAATTGTACTCTTACTTTTATTATAGAGTTTTTATTACAAAAAATTCAGATTTCTATTAGATATAATGTTTAGGTAATGTAGAAAATTTGCATAAAATTTAAAATAAAAAGTCGACTGTTGTGTCAACATACTATTAATAAAAGTAATAATACTCAGTGAAGGTTATTCATATACAGCTGTTAGGTTGTAAGATTTACAAAATTTGAGAACTCTAAATTATAAGCAATATATTCCATAATCTAAGCAACATTATATTTTTTATAATCAGGCAAATTATGAAAATGTTATAAAAGCAATAATGAAACCTGATTTTGGTCCTGATTTGAACCTATGAATTCATGCAATTACACATCCCTATATTTCTAATATGAGGTAAATAAGTATTTTTAAACCATGGTAATTTTGATCTCCTTAGCAAAGGAAACACCAAGAGTTTACCTCATGCTACTGAAAATGTGTTTTTTTTTCCCTTGAGGGGGGGGGCAAGTTTATAATAATATGCAGAGTTGACATATGAAAAAATGTCAAGACTCATGTGATGTAATATTAAAAGCACCAGTTTTAGCTATTAAAAATTCGGCTTTTTAAAAAATATTTTAAATGTTGTGCTTTCCTAACACAAAAGTAACTTTAAGAAAAACACACAATTTATCCCTCCTGCCATCAAAGCTCTGATATCTATCAAATTCGTTAAAGTTACGTGGACAGAAATGGCGGCATGTTTGAAGCTCAGTATTTAGCGTTACCAAGGTTATCATAATTTTTCATATATCGCTCCAAAATGTCGCCAAACAAATTTCTCGCCAAAAAGGACTAATACTAAAGCTGTGCCGTTTTGCCAAATGATACTGCAGGAGAACTGCAATATCATTTGGCAAAACATCATTATCATTATTTAAAACATTGTCATTCCCTTCTTCTTTATCACTAGCTTCTGCAATTTCTATGGGAACAACAACAATATCAGTTTCATTCTGGTCATTATTAACATTATCATAATCTGTTTTTTCATCAAAAAATCTTTGAAGGGCTTCTTCTAATGTAAGATACCTTGCATTTTTTCAGCATTTTTAAAGCAGCCAGAACATGAACCACAACATCGAAAGGAATGAGTGAAAAAGGAGATTGATTACCCGTTTCCTGCTGACGTTGCATCACCGCAACACCTGTTTTCCCTTCCTTCTCAACATAAATATAAACATTTGATTGACGTAATGTTCTGATAAATGGTGACCTTGACTAAAAATAGATTACTCATAAAGACGGCGATTCTTTCGTTAAATATTTTCAGCAAAAATACCCGGTCGAAAATTTTGCTTAAAGATGAGATTAATCATTATAAACAAAATGATTGTTGAAGGAATTGTTTTCTTCTATGAAGAAATTCTAATTCTCCTATGAAGAATTTGAAGTTAGATAGATTGATGCAGTAATTCCAAGTTAAACTATGAGGAAAGCAGTACAAAAAGCTACAGTTAATTATGTTGCAATTAGTCCTGCTGCAAAAGATCATTACAGAGCATGTGCAAGCAACCTCTGAAGAAATTTTACGACAACTCACTCATCAGCTGCCAGTATCATGACCATATGTTCTCAATCACTTATCTGTCATATACTTTGGGATAATATATTTTCAAAAGATTCAAAAATAATTATAAAAGGTAATCTAATCTGCATGTTCGCATTTGTACAACCAAGAAATATTATCGAGGTTGAATATTATATAATTTCAAAATGATCAATAAGAAAACTAAGAAATAAATGCTTTGCTGACATTGTGCTCTTTTTTCAGATAAAATATTTTTAACTAACTGTTTATCCTGACCTCCATGAGATTATATATATATATATATAAAAAAAAAAAAAACAGATTTATAAATTATGATATAAATACTTTGTTCTCTCTTTATGCCAGTTTCAGAAATTTATCACAGCCTATTAACTGTTACTGTACTTATTCTCTACCTTATCAAATTAGATCGTCAGTCTCCATATTCAAAATACAATAAACCCTGTCATGACAACCATTTCTGAAAGTAACCAGCTGTACAGAAACCAGTACAGAATCTTGCTGA